GATTCGTCAGAGAATATAATAAGTGCCTACTCTTCAACGCTCCAGTCTTTACGACTTAACACCTATTGATATCGAAGATCAACCACTTCTAGTGTCAATTCAGGTCTTTTTTTGCATTGCCATTTACGCAGATTGTACGGGAGAAGAATTCGCTTAATAGTACTATCGGAGAGCAAAATCTGTAGATCTTTGCGCATTTGCGCGTATGTAGACTTCAGATGAAAGCGTGCATAGCGTACAATTGTTCTTTTGTCTCTTTCGGATGTAATAGAGGGCCTGCCCGCACGCGAAACTGATTCGTGGTTGATTCGTTGTGTAGATAATTCATAGGTAGTTCGGACGGTTGAGGGCGCGAAATTAAGGATCCGGCCAATATCTGCATATTTTACACCACATTTGGCTGCACCGACTATTTCAGCTCTCTGAATAGGCGTCAAATCCGGGCCTCGAGGCCTATTAGCATCGATTTCGCTTAATGGCCTGCGTTGAGGCATAATTCGTTGATAAAGTAGGGGCGTTGTGGTGGGGCAAACGCGAAAAAACGCGAAAAACGCGAAATGAGCGAGAACTTTTGACCGGGTACTGTACATATTACATACACGTTGTATTTTTGGAGGCTTCAACTAGGCCGTTTAGGGAAAAGAACTTTTTGTATGCCGTGTTTGGCTTCTCATTCAAGCCTTTTACCCCCTACTCCTGCCTCCTCTTTTCACCACTCCACTTGCTCAAGGGAGAGTCAAGCTTTTTCTCTTCCACTCGCCCAAGAGATTGGAGGTTTCTTCTGTAAGACTTGCAACCAGCGGCCCATCGCAAGGAGACATGATCCTCCCTCACCTGTTCTTGTGCACTTTTTTCTGCCTATACCACCCCAAGTCAGGTACCCAGCTTTATCTTTCTATCACTCATAGGCTGCTGTCTTTCATGTCAATGCCCCAAATTTTGGCGAGCATACTCTAAATGTGCATTCCTTAAGATCGTTCAAGCTGGCTAAACCCGTCGCTGTTCTATCCGACGCGTGTCCAGTGAAGTATGTGTTGCTGAAGAACGAGTGGACATCGGATACTGATGATCGCTCTTGTAGTCAATTGCTCCAACATTCCACCAGTACTGGGCGGACTTGAAACCCGAACGCAACAAGGTCAATAAAATGATATGTGAGCTATTCCATCTATCTCAATGGCCAACTTCCAGCCATGAATCAAGGACTATTCTTCCACACACGCTCCATGGCAGCATGGGCGACTTGCAACCATGTGAGAAGAGTTCCATGAAATCTGGAGGTTGCATAGCAGAGAGGAGCGCGCCAGCAAGGCATGCGCCTACAACAGGGCTTCTCGTATTCTCTCGCATAGCAAAATTAGCTGTATCGCCTCCGAGGCTTTAGCACGGATCCCAAGCTAGATCCTGTCGTCAACAGGCGATGTACTTCTGCCTTTCGTAAAAGTCTGACCCTGAGAGCCACATGTACTTATTTGCTATGGTCATTTGATCTGCAAGCCACAGGACAGCCTTGCGATGAACGAGCGTAGCGATTTCAATATCCTCAGTCGAGTTGGTCTGAAGCTCTATCTCGCCAATGGATAGCTCGAGGGCAAACAAGTCGTACGGGTAACCTGCCCCAATAACCATATACCCTAAAACGCCAGCGATGAGTGAAAGACAGTATAGAATGCACATCGGCCTCGAGAGCCAGGTGAGAAGACAAGCGCAGAATAGACTTTTCTTTGGTGATCAAGGGGAAATATCGCACAGCCATTTGTGAGAATGTGGAGGACAGGGATTCTTAAAATGTCGATAGGAGGTCAGGATGTTCCGAAATCTGCCGACGTGTTCACTGACAGACGTGGCGCCTATACAAGAGAGTCTTTCATGACGACAGAATATCAGAGCTGAAGCATCAATGCTCAAGATTATGGCGTGGGAAAGTACGGGTCATGACGGTTCTGGTTAACTACCTGGATGCGCTTAGTCCCCAATAGGATAGTGACTCAGTCACCAGCAAAAAGCATGTGAAAGTGTTGGATGGAAAATCCTGCGGGATATCGTCCATACCTTTAGCCACGATGTTAGCGAACCTATGAAGATGGTGGCATCAGGCAAGGTCCGAAACCCCTGCTGGCATCCCTGGTGAACACAAGGCGTAGGGCGGTCTCGACTTCTTGGAGACGGCTCTGGTTTTTATTGCAGTCATCTTTCAGAGTGATGCTCAAGTTGAATTTGACTTCTTTCGGCTGGGAGCCCACGGAAAAGATGCCGCGAACACATGGCCCGACGCCAAGATACTCTCTACTCGCTCAGGGTTACTCGGCCTGCCAGATGCTGCCATGAAGCAAGGCTACTGATTGTCCTGCGTGATATAAGACCTGGCGCAAATAGACGGAAGATGTGCAAGAGGTTCCAAAATATTTACCATGTATAAATGTCGATTCCTACTGCACTACACACCACACATTCTTGGATCCATAAATGTCATAGCCCCATATCTCCCACAACACAGACGACTGTAAAGCCAGATTTTCCAACAACGACTATGACTAGCCGCCCAAAGCCAAGTAACATATCCTGTTTCTTGTATGGTCCCGGAGATGCTCGATACGAGGAGCATCCTGTGCCAACCATTACTGATCCATACGATATACTTGTCCGTGTCCACTTCGTAGGTGTCTGTGGAAGCGATGTATGCGATAAGCTATCAAGCACGGAATCCTGTGATTGACCGGTGTCAGGTACATTTCTGGAGTCATGGAGGAGTCGGCGAAAAGGTCTCCGCCTCAAAGCCGCTCATCATGGGCCATGAAGCTTCAGGAATTGTTGACCACGTGGGCTCCGGTGTATCAAGTTTGGAAGCAGGTGACAGAGTCGCAATTGAGCCTGGATATCCCTGTCGAAGATGCAACACCTGTAAACGAGGTCAATATAATTTGTGTCCTGGCATGAAATTCGCAGCCTGTCCCCCGGACGATCATGGGACTTTGACAAGACTGTTCAAGGTACCGGAAGACTTTTGCTACAAGCTCCCAGACAACATTGGCCTTGAAGAAGGCGTGATGGTCGAACCTCTCTCAGTTGCTGTTCATGCAGCGAGGGTGGGCAAGATCCAGCACGGCGACACCGTTGTCATTCTTGGATCTGGTACCATCGGTTTGCTTTCCGCCGCAGTAGCAAGGACATTTGGCGCGAAGAAAGTCGTAGCGGTTGATATACTGGAGCACAAGCTGCAGTTTGCTCAGAGGTGGAACGGTTCTAACACTTTCATGCCAGACCCTAGGAGCTCTCCGGCGAGCAATGCCCACCGACTTGTGAAGGATAATGAGCTTGTTCTTGGTGCTGACGTGGTAGTTGAAGCCTCAGGAGCGGCAAGCTCAATCAATCTTGGCGTCCATACACTTCGACCAGGGGGTTCTTTCGTTCAGGTAGGCGTGGTTGGTGCCAACGTCGAGTTCCCTATTCAACAGGTTGCCGAGAGGGAGTTGCACATACTTGGATCGTACCGATATGGAGCCGGCGACTTCCAGACAGCGTTAGAAATGCTATCGACTAAACAAATCATCGTTAAGGACTTGATAAGTTCAACTGTGCCTTTTGAGGAAGCAACAGTGGCTTGGGAGATGACCAAAAGAGGCCAGGGAATCAAGAATCTCATCCGGGGAGCTGCTCTGTAGGGTTTGCTAATTACTGCGTGAAGTTTCAACCATTCATAGGTAGTTGCAGACTGCTTCTCGTTCTTGCGAACAGGCTTTGTAGGTCGTCGTCACTAAGGTTACACTTGCCAACAAAGCTATCGTCTGCCAAGTCAAATCTGAGAGTGTGTATCTTCCTAACTGTCGTGGAACACTTCCAAATGCATCTTGGCTTTGGGTAATCTCCAGGCCCACAGCATAAGGACAAGCAGGATATCAAAGAAGCTGAAAACGAGACTTCCACCAAACACCAAGCTGTGATAGGTCCAGGCGTCTTCCGCGTTGAGATTGAATAACTTGACAGACAACCGCCCACGGCATAACATACGCAAAATTTGAGACGAAGGATTGATAAAGATTCCATTTAGGACGAGTTGCAAGAAGAATGGTGGCTAGCTGAGCTGAAACGCCATAGAATATGACATAGGTCAAGCTGGATTGCCGTACTTCCACTGGGACAAACGCATTCGCGAAGTTCTGTGCTGCGGCCACAAAAACAATGCTCATGATGCAACCGAGAACAGACTGAAACGCGATCAAGGTGTACGCCAAGCCGAACCGAGAGTCCAGACTGCGCGAGGATTTGTCTCCGATAATAACCCAGGCAGCCCGTGGCAGACCTTCATTCAGTACCTCGGCCACAGTTCCGATATATGTGTAGACGTCGGTTGTAACCACGCGGGATGCATCGATGTTTGCAATCCACAACTTTAACAGTGTGCCGTACAAAGCTGGGAGCAGAAAGGCAAAGAAAATTGAACAAGATAGCACCCAATAACTTGCAAACAGTCAATATGGCACCAGCGGCTGCCTCTCAGCCACTTACCTTTCGCGATGCCACCACCTACGAGGTTTGGTAGCTGTTTGAGTTACATTGAGTTCAGTGATCTGATCCGCTGCCTGCGCCATGGGCGACGATTCTCCAGGCAAAATTCTGTATCGAGCTCGGAGTCTCAAGCTCTGAAAGAACATCTTCGACATGCCTATGTGGTGGGTCGTGTTCTGAAAGCACTTCTCCGCACCAAGACCATGTCTCAATTACGAAGGGTGTCCCCAGCCTGACAAAGCGTAGCGATTGGACATAATGCCGGTATGAACAGATGGAAGTGACTGGCCGAGTGGCTTCGACCTGTAAGGCCTGCAGGGGTGCTGTAGCTTTGTGCTGTGATGTGATGCAAAGGCAGGCATAAACAATGCTCTAAAGTTGTGATATATTCAGTCCCAAGACAGCTTTAAATTTCTCCATCACAGGATATCAGCTAGAGTAGTGCAGCTTGGGATCTTTGGAGGTAGAATGTAGATTGAGGTCTAAATATTGCTCTGGTCAGAGGCTGGTCGCAGGCTATCATGACCAATCCGACCGTGTCCTGGAATTTGTAGACTGAAAGTCCCACTTGATGGATAAGTTTTCCGATGGGTCGGAGATGATGGTCCACGACCTGGTGTTCAAGGCTTCAGGTTCGAAATCTCGTTGAATGTTTCTGGAAAGCACTACCGCGTGGAGTGTGATTGGAAAAGCACCTTTGAAATTGGAAAACCAGCCACGATATTTTGGCGTTGCCGGATTGCTCTTGATCGGGGTTAAATACTTCTGTGTGCCGCCGCGTGGCCATCAAAGCTTCTCGGGAGAGGCGCACAAAAAGTTGGTGCAGATCTGCGGTTTTGCTGAAGTGGGCCACCTTGACATTGCATGCAATCCTCCACTTCGTAATCAGAGCATGGTGGTGGTGCGGTGTCTCTGATCACCTGGTGAGAATGAACAACGAAATCCTTTTCGTCTCTATTACGGAAAGGGGCTGGGTATTTTCAGGCTATGTATCTCGAGTACTGTGCATTGCGAAAGTCTTGCAAAAACTCCAAAAGTGCAGTTTCCATTTACAAGCAGGGTATCCATCAAATCAAATGATCCAATAATTTTGTTAGGATAACTGTCAAGAATTTCCTTCTTGCAAAATGAGTCCGCCAAGACTTTTAATTTTTTTTTGCCAAAATATGCCAAAATATACTACTTTTCTGCCAAGACCCAATTTGATTAATTTGACAACCGTGATTTGATTTGATTGCCAAGCATTTGATTTGACTGGATACACTGTTTACAAGTTTCCGTTCAATGCTCATCAACACCCAAACTTCTCAGGCGGGTGTGGCAGAGACATAATGGTTGCTGGCCAATGGCTTTTGGCCAACGGTGATTCTTTTCGAGGAGAATCTGACTTTGGCAGAGATCAGACTGACAGCGAAGTTAGACCATTTTTGTTGGGACGCTGCCGCTAAGGGTAAGGCAACCAATACGGACAGCCACCACCTAACAGGTGCAAATTCTTTCGGAAATACCAACAAAGTTCCCATGTGGATCTCACATCCTCTCAAGAAGAGCTTGTTTTTCCAAGCTCAAAAAAAGGTCTACTTTGCCCAAAATATTACCCAGTGGAACCGAAGCAAACGATTCTAATATCTGAGTATTAAATATTGTAGAACTCAAAAAATACAGTTTGCGCTTAATTTGCTACGTGTGTCACCAGCGTTTTGTTACAGAATTGATACGCATTTTGCATCAGCCACGCATGTATTTTTGGTATCAGCGTTTCGCGCTATTCCGCTTGATATAGCAACTCTGTACGTATAAATGCGCGCTCCTCGCACTGAATTAGATAGAACAACTTGCTATTTCCACACTGATCCGTCGATTAGTCAGCACAGTTCGTCAAATATGTTGTCAGCGCAGACAGATATAAGGACGTTCAAGGAGACTGGAAGCGACAGGGCTGTGTTGAATAGGTTTCGACAGAATCGAGCACGAAGGAAATTGTCGAATTCAATGCCGGGTGGCAACGTCTACCTCGCCGTACTATGGATGATCCGAGCGTGAATGTCAATTGGCCATTGGCAAGCATGAATGGGTATTAGGATATGCAATTACGTCATTGAACTTGGAGAAGGTGCTAGAGCGGAATGCGTTCGGAAAGGTCCATTCAGAAAGGTCCATTCGGCAAAGGTCCATTCGGCGTTTGGGTCTTGGCGGGTTTTACGTCATACAAATTACCAGTAGATTTGCCCATTATGACCATTTGAATAATGTGAAGATTTCATAAAGAGAACAAGACTATTTATTGATGTTATGGTGACTTCTCTATTAGGAAATGGATACAGGGAACCTGGTGTTGCACAAATAGCTCTATTGCTTGGCCCCTCTACCTGCTCCGTTTCTGCCCTGCCTTGTCCCCCGTTTTGGCGCCTTTTCGGCCTCTAACGCCTTCATTGTGGGGGCTCTCTTGCGGCCAGCTCTTGATTGCGTCATTGCTGCTGGTGCCGTTGAAGGAGGGGGTATAAAGCCCTCCTCTTTTTCTTCTTCTTCTTCCTCCTCCTCTTCTTCTTCGTCCGGAGTTAGGAAGGACCGACGAACTGGGTTGGTGGCGGCGGCGGCGACAGAACAGGGGACGGCAGAAGCCGTGGACTCCGGAGGAGGAGGAAGAGGAGGAGGAGGTCCTGCAGAGGGTGTTGGCCCTGTTACAAATGAAGCTGTAAGGGCTATATTAGCTCCCTGGCGTGCCTCTTGAGCAGCAGCCTGTTGTCTATGATTAGCGTCACGCTCTGCTGCTTCAGCTCCTATCATAAGTCGCTTGTTAGCCTTATCATGACTCTTAAACTGCCTGTTCCACCCTGACCTCTTAACAATATCTGGCATTCGAGTAATAAGATCATCTTCCTTAAGCTCTTGAGCAAATTCAACTAGGCCCTGTTAAGCATTTGTAGCTGCTTGATCGTATTGTGTACGAGCGTAGCCTGTCAGGTCCTCTCTAGCCTCTAGAACCTGTAAGCCAAGCCCTGTAATCTGGTTCCTATTAGGAGAGATATAAGGGTTTTGTAAGGAAGAGGCAGAATGTTGTAAAGGAGATATTGGAAGGGCGAAAGTACGGTATGTCAGTGTCCATCTAGTGATTCAAATAGGCTCGCTATTAATTCACCAGCGAGGATGTATTAAGGATCGAGGTATAAGGGCACTATCCTCAAATGGCTGCGCAAGATAGTGCTTGCAAGGGAGGCCAAATCGAATAAGTAATTCGCATTCGGAGCAAGAGGGGTTAGGGCGTAAAGAGCCCTTGTTCATCTCATCTTTTGTGACCTCCTATTCAGAAGATATCTTTGAAATAGCAAAAAGCGATATAGTATCCGCTAGCAGTACGAACGCTTTCGAGTCGAGCGTACGAGGTAGCTTACCGCCATTTTGAGCCTCCTCCTGAGATAACTGTCTGAATTTTGACTTCACAATAACTCCTAGCCGTCGAGTAGCCTCTTCTATACTCAGTTGCTTGTTCAGAATGTCTTTAGTGCCAGGGTGAAGGCTCTCAGAGCGTTGATTCGAGTGAGCGCCTAAATTTGGGTACTTTTGAGTGTGGATTCGTAGAAACTGTGACTCCTTAGGACCCCAGTACTCGTTAAGATACTGTATCTCATCTGGCCTCAATTTGGCATGAATCTTTACACGATTAGCCTCTAAATCAAGCTGGGTATCGCTCTTAATAAAGGTCCATAGGAGCGACTTCATCTCCTTTCGAATCTCCTTTGAATAGCCTTTATCAGCAAGCCTCTTTTTGACGTTTTGAACGGCATGCCAATCACAGAATTGAAGAATCGTTTCTAGAAGAGATATAGGTATAGAAGCTCTTATGCCTGTAGCTTAGTCGCTAATGACAACGCGTGGCACAGGGGTAGGGGGGCAAAAAACATGCTTTTTGAGGCTCTTAAAGATGAAATCAAAGGATAACTTTGCTTCTGAACGGGCAAACGATAGAGAGCTTACAAAGGTCGAGTTATAATTCGTAATACCAGCAGTAACAAGGAGCACAAGATTCAGGGCATTTGTTCGAAAAGTACCATCAACGAAGAGAGCAAAATCTGCTATAAACTGTTGCGCATAATAAATTTATTAAGGATAAGCAAACCAAATCTGCTGTAACTGTCTACTGATAGCTATACCAGTTTCTGAATCGAATTCCTCCTCTATTCGACATTTGAACACGAATCCTGCCTCCTTTAGAGCAACAACAAGCGCTGCAAACTTATTCTGCTCAGCAGAAGCAGTACAAGATCGAATGTTATAGTAAGTATCGCGATTAAGAGGAAATCTAACCTGTTTAAGCACTCAGAGAGCAGCAGAATAAGAGATATTAGCTGCTCAAAGCGACTTACCTAGCTTAATCATAGGTAAATACCTAGGGAGCGCCTTAATATGCTCCTTTTTGTATCTCAGTAGATTAGCAGCCATCAAATAAGTATGAGTATTATGACGAATACTTAAAACGAATCCAAATACACCAGAACCACGCTTGCCAACTTGCTTATACGTAAGACAAATACAGTAAAGACAGTTGCGAGCGTTGATATTAGTGGCCTCTTGCTTTCGACGGCTAATGATTTTATCCTCCTCATCTCTCTCAATGTGCTTCTCAAGCTGACGGCTATTTAGAGTCTCAACTCCATGATGTATACAGCGAAACTCGAACCGCGGACGAGCTGCCTTTGCGCTACCACTCGTTTGGACAATGGCAAACCCTTGCGATAGGGCCCAGCCTTGTAAACGCTCTTTACAAACAGCAGGATTATCGAAGACCTCCCCAGGCGTAGGGGCTGATAAGAAGGAGGAAGGGAAGGACCGTACACGCGCTTCGAGCTCTGCTTTGAGATGCTCTGGGCAGTCGGGATGGGCAGTCCATGAGGAGGAGGTGGCCATAGCAACAACAGCAATAATAGTACAACACCAAAGATATCTATCTCAATACCTGTTTAGGAAGCGGAGCAAGCTTGAATTATGAATGGCGGTGGATTTGATCTCTCTGGGAAAATCTAGGAATACTACATACAAATTACTACTACGCAGTCATGCCAAGACCCAAACGCCGAATGGACCTTTGCCGAATGGACCTTTCTGAATGGACCTTTCCGAACGCATTCCGGTGCTAGAGCCGCAGTCTCTACGGTCCAAGGAGGGAAGCTTGAGAAGGTTGGCGTCACAGGGAGTCAGGGACAGCGAAAAGGCGGTTCAATACAGTGGCAGATGCTGCGGTAGATGAAAAGAACATGCCCACGGTGTCGTCTGTCAGTGAGATTTAATGGCTCCGGTGCTGATGTATAGCGAGCATCGAGCATCGAGAGTGGAAACCAGAAGTGCTGGTTGTAGAACGTATTCTACCATCATATGTATAAACGGTACATCATCACCACATTAGAGTCGAATATCAAACGTGACGAATAACCCAGGTTAAGTACTAGTACTCTTACACTTTGACACGTATGTAGATGTCTCAAAAGATACTAGTAGGTAACAGAACCTCAGGAGTAAGTAGTTAGAAATTTCTAAGAGCGAAGATTTTGTTCAAAGAGGTAGATCCTGATCTATAATATTCTAGACCTCGAGTACAATATACTACCTATAACACCAGATAGAATAACTACAAGCTTTATCAGATTGACAAAGCTGCAGAAAACAACATTCTTCCACATATTTCTGCGCCAATTGAGGTACGCCGATCGGCCATTTTCCCCTGCTAAACTTTCATTTCGCTCGCACAGGTCCAAGAACTTCACCAGTGGTTCCCAACCTTGCCGTATGTGATATTCGAGCAAGCGATTCTTCGGTACAACTTGCCACACATGCTCATTGTGTTCGAGAAAGCGTTTCTTAATTTATCCCGATCATCATAGTCACGTAACTGAAAACTTCCCAGATCAGCTCGCTGTGTGTGGCACGTTTCCTAAAACTACTTGGATCAGTGTAGCAAAGCACTCACAAAGAGGGCCATCGATGGACCTTGGAAATGGTTTCTTGCAGCGATCGTACCCAACTCTCGACGTCACGGGTATTGAGAATCACTTTTGCGTTTGTATAGACCTTGCAGGACTCCTCAACAGAAAGCAGTGTGGCATATCGAGGACGTACTAGGTTGGAATCAGCATTCATCCACGTTCGGAGAAGGGCAAAAAAAAGTACGTCAGAGGCTCCAGTGAGTTGGTCCAGTTCGTCTCGGCCCCATGGGTCCTCTATGCCAGACAACTTGGGTTCGGTCGCCTTGTCCCAATCAGACAAATTTCCGTTCGAGACGCGATCAGTGAAGTCGTACGGCGTGAAGCCGTACTCCTTCGGGGCTGCTGCAAGGGTTGTACAGTCTGAAATGAGTACAGCACCGGCACATTTCCTGTACCCTAAAGAGGCTTACACGTCGTCCCTGTCCTTCCCCACTCCATCGCTTAGCTGACCGCATGTTGCTCATTCTGAAATAGCCATTTCTCTTATGCTGCAACCCACATGAGTGAATGCACAACAGGAAGCATCGATAGAAGATAAGGTAATGACCAGTGGTACTGAGTCCTCGGGAATGAGAGTGAGGTTTAATTGAGCCCAACCTCTCCTTTATGACAGAAATCCTGTTTTCGTGATATCAGTCAATCCTAACTAGATCCCCGATCCGTGTGGGACACCAGGCAAGGGAATCAAGGACTTCCGAATCCCTGAGTGTGTATGTGTTGCTGTCGAAAAGCCTCCACTAATGATGAGGATGTTGTAGATCAAAACCACCGTGCATATTAGATTGTGTTAGCCGGGATTGAAGGCGAAGAATGCAAGGATCGCTCTTTTCCACTCATAGTAGCTAATTCTTGGTACAACGCTGGAGAGCCGGATGGACCAAAGTGTCCATTGTATGGTGGTTGTAATGACTAGAAAATACAAATGCCAAGCTTGAGTGGAACTTCAGTTGTGTACTACAGACGCCAAGGCCCCACGACACCTACTATACTGTATTGGTACTACCAGTACGGAGTACTACGGCTACAGGCCTAATTTTTCTACCCCCCTTGTTGAAAAGATTAGTATTAGTACAAAACGTACTATATAGAATTAGTATAGATGCCTGACAAGTGGCCTAGATAGGACTAGTCTCCAAAATCAAGTTTTTACATTCCATTGGCATCTGTAACTGCTTGATATTGTGTCTACACTACTAGTTAAAGCAGCTTCTTAAGAGATAGTCAAAAGATACAGCATCCTATGAAGCATCTAATAGCGCCGTCATATCATCATGCTCATTGATATTTATACAGAATTAGTAGAATGCGTACAGAGTGATATGAGTAGTATTTGCATGATGAGCAAATTCGTGCAAAATAGTAACAGGGATGCTGACAGGGTGGGGCGTGTAAAAAACATGTTTGTAAGATATTTTGACCAGGGGGGGGTAGAAAAATTAGGCCTGTAGCCGTAGTAAGCTGGGGCTGGTAGTCTGAGTGATGAGCAGGCTGTGCCTACAGTACCATTGTACCACTGCACTCATACATGGTCCGCCAAGAGACATCTGCTCTTTACACACTGCCCAACTTGAATGCCCTTTGTACCGAGAGGGTTAACTGAAAGCTCTAGCCTCTGTCACGTAGGGTGTCCATTTGATGAGTCAAATAGACCAAATCCATGCTTCCGTCAAATTACATCAAGACTTTGAGATTTGATAGACTGGTCAAATAGAAGTCTTGGCGGATTACTTTTTAAATATTTAGGAATTAATACTTATTTTCGATTTGAAAAAAGTCTTGGCAGACTCTGGTTTCAAGTTTTCAAAGGCAGTCCTCTTAACAAAACATTAGTACTTAGTACTTACCAACATTTAACTCTATTTGATATTTGACAGATGAGTCAAATCAAATCAAATCGACCTTAGGTATCAGGTAAGCAAATCAAATGGGGGTTCAAGATTTGGGTTGATTTGATTTGATGGATACACTGATTGTGGTGGCCGGACGCACTTGATTTGCCTGGTGGTCTGTCTTGCTTGCGCTGCCAGTGCGGTCAACGGCGCTTTGCGAGGGAGCTCTCATTCAGCCTCTCTTCAAACCGTTGCTTAGGCTCTCGTCATCCGCCTCGCCTGATCTGCTCCGGATGATAGTACCGATCCTGGTGTTGAGATATGGGAGATATAAATTAGCGTATGCTGTCGAGATGTACTAGGCAAATTGCTTCATCCGTAGTGAGTTCAGGGCGACGTCTGCTAACTGAAGACTGGGCTCGACAACTGAGGCTACCATTAGGGGTAGAGAACGGTGGAGTTTGAAGGAAGACGCTGCATGGATGTTTACTGCAATACTAGTAGTGGATTTGTTTTCTGATAATGCCTTGTCCATAAGACCTAGGCATGGCTTTTCAAGGTCACCACGGAGTACTCTGATCTTGTCGTTATCCCTGAGAGCCTTTGATGTTGGGGCTAGGAGAGCGGTGGAGTAAAGGGCCCAGAGATGCTTATTCCGGGTGGAGCCATCAGGTCAGCTCTTGCGTCGTCCATGGTAGAACAGAGTCGCACATGCTGTTCTCCGCCGCTACAGTAACGAGTAGTAAGAGTTGTCTGCATGGTACGCTGCATAGGATCTTGACTACTACTGCAATCCCCAGGAAGCCAGTGGCGCTGTTGAGGAATATACATTGGTCACTAAAGTGGTTTCGGCTGGGGAAGACATTTTGCTATTCGGTCATGTTCCCATTTAGCGGTTCTTCGTGCTTCACTCGTAGCCTGTTTATAAATAAGTGAATAGCCGGAATTTTACGTGTCAGCCCTTGCCTCACTTTATTGGCTTCTTGGCGGACATGTGGCAGCAGTAGCCAAGACAGCCATCCAGGAGATCAAATCCGACTACGCATCATAACAGTAGCATCTAAGATGTGCCAGCACGCAATTTTTGTCAACTTGTTCAAGGTTGATAGCGTGACCGAACCACATGTGCAACGGATCCCCAGTTCGCAACAGTTTAACTAGGGCCGATATCTCTGTCCCTACCAAATTGTGAGGCCCAGTTTTAGCTCGCTGCCATTCTATAACTATTCATCGAAACTAGAACACTGATGAGTCGACAGCCAAAATCAAGTGTTGTTCATTTTACTGTACAGCCTCCTGGAGCGTCATTGCTTGACTTGCGGAATATAGCCAAATTCGGACACAACCGTCATTCTGGATAGAGATTTCTTTCGATGCCAGTAGATAGCCTCAAAGATGGACTGGGCTCCATATCCCTCGTTTTAAATCTCGCCAACTATGTTCGTTCAACTCCAACTCGGATAGCAAGGTCACCGGGTGCGTGGCTTTCCTTCCACAAAAGCCAGCTGGCGGGATATAGTCCACCCAGGTCTTCGCACCCAAAGAAGGCCTAGAGCAAGACATACACACAGATCCACGTTCGCCTGTGTAGGGATCACTGGGACGCCCCAGAATGTTATAAAAGACGATCGTGTAAGTATGCCTCGAAAAGCGTTAAGAAAATCATACCCGTAAGTCAGAGTCCTGTGGGAGTACATCAATCCATCCCGGAAAGACCTTCAACAATTGACGGTTCTTTTCCAAAAAGATTGGCATCAAGCCTCGTAGCGTTGAGTGGGAAGGGAACCCAGCCCTCACCTGAATCCAATGGAATGGCTTCGCTCTGGGTCGTCTCACGACAAACGAAATAGACTTAGTACTAACTGAAAACAACAACAACGGTGGGAGAGCCTGGCTTCTTGATACGTCCACGCTCTCGTGACCCGTCCCGATTGGGAATCATAGTCATAGTGGGAGGAAATGAGTAGACGAGGCATCCATTCTGCATTAAGAATCGAGGCTGTGGCGTTCTGAGAATACTAGAGACCCCTATGATGCAGCTCTACCGTTTTGGCCATACATGGCGACAGTGATTGCTTCAGCTTTCTCAAAGATCTGATCCATGTTGCGAATCATTACTACCTTTTCGGAACTGTCTTCCTGCTTGATCCAGCATATATCAACCCACAGGTACCTCCTACCCAGGTTCCGCGCAACGCATGTGACGTCTTGAATGGTATTTGGCGCTTCCACCGATGAGAGTGTTCGCTCAAGCTTAAATACTCCTTCGACAAGCTGACGCTCGATATTTCCCCAAATTTAGCTGATGGTTGGATATGGATCGTTAATCTTCGCGCGCACAATCGTCTCGGTGATACAATCGATCAAGTACAAATATTGGAGGCTGCCTTTGTGATTTCTTTTTTGATACGCCCAGGGTGAGAGTTTTCACATTGTGTAAGCTAAGATCCCAGAAATCTATACTCGATAGCTGTCGCGTCAAAGGCGCTGACCGGACAAGTACTAGGAACTCCTAACGAGTGATGGACTAAAACGCCCATCTGGTCCGCTTCATGTTTTACCGAGTCGTCAAATACAAGCCTCGAATTTTCACGGAGTACACTTAGAAAAGGAGTTGGCGGACCTCGATTTGAAGCAGACAATGTTCCTGGGTGGTCTCCCTAGACTCAAAATCGGCATTCTGGTCTGTGGGATTCATGCGTCTTCGAATTGAGAGTCGACGGGAGGAACAGAGGTCAAGCCACAACGCTGTATTGGTCCTTAGTAGAACAATAGTGCAGGTTGATTCACTTTGAATGGGTTAGTGTATCCATCAAATCAAATAACCCAAATCATCACCCCGATTTGATTTGCTTATCTATTCCCAGAGGCTGGTCTGATATGAATTGATTTGACTCATTTGTCAAATAGAGTCAAATGTTAATGAAGAAATATTTTGTTAAGAGGACTGTCAGGGATTTTCATCTCAAAGAAAGAGTCCGCCAAGACCTTTTATTTTCATTAAAAATAATCCTGATAGTATTTCAATAAATGTCCTTTCTGTCATGACTTCCATTTGACTAATTTATCAACTTTCAAAGTCTTGATTTGATTTAACGGAAAACCGGATTTGGGTTATTTGCCTCAGTTTGATTCAAATGGACACACTGTCGCGAGTTTTGCAAGTTGCTTGGGCCCCCTTCTAACCTCAACTGTCAATTACCATCTCACCCTGAGGATCAACGCTTCCACCTCGTCACTGCCGTCTTCCAATCCGCATGCCTCTCCGCTGTCGGTTGAGACCCTCTCATCCAGCTATTATAGGCTAGTGAAAGTGAAAATCTTCGTATCAAGCGCTTCTGAGATCAATTGCAGAATTTTAAATGCCATGATCAGACTCGAATATTACGACCTCATCCGAACAGCTCAACTGCAGGAGAAGTAGGTAGTGTTATGAGAAGCAAATGTTTTGACTATGGTGGTCTTTCCCAAAACCCTGTTGGCCTCTGATCAAGAGCCGCACACTCGTCTTCTGTCCGAGCTACAGTTTGAATTACACTTGTGGAGCTCCATGATGGAAGCGACTACGCAATGCTTCGATGTTCCGATCCACAATCCTCCCAAACGCAAGTCTTCGCATGAATTCTTCCCCGGTCTGGAATAAACCATTTGAGGCTGAAGTACAGCATCTAGAACTAAAACCATTACTACCGAGCAATCTTTACAATTACCAAGCTTTTCATTACGTAGTAACTTATGCGTCAAGCTACTAGTAATTATCTTATCTGGGCAGCATGGCTTCCCCGGGTTGCACAGCCTTGCCATACAACGGGGGGCAGCATAAGTATCCGTAACACGGCGCTAGAAACGCTGTGTAAAATTACACAGTTGCGTACGTAGTAAATGTTCTTTCCGTAATAAGAATAGAGTGCCCAGAAATCGTCAAATCAGGACTACTTACTAGTAGTAGTCTGCTTGCTTGATTGGCCAACATCGCAGCATTGTCGTACAAGATCCATTAGGCTATCTGTGTTCATAGCGCCCGGAATGGCGAAATTTTCCAGCGGTGTGTTGAGCCTCACTTCAGCAGTCTCTGAGCCTGCATTGACCACAAAACAGACTGGTTATTCCATACTAGTAGACATCCGGAACGTCCGCAACGTATAAGTGGATGAACACCGACTTTTCGAACCGTTCTTGAAGCAATGCAATCCTACTGACTTCATTGCAAGTTGCCAGCCATGTCGTTTTTCCAAAGATGTGCCTCATCTCTGAGAGCAGAAGGGATTATTATTTAGTGCTAAGTCAACAGCGAGCCTACATTACCTAATATCACAGTTTAGTACAAGGCTGAGTGCAAATTCGATTCGCTATCGGTGGCTTGAATGGCTTGGCACAGTTTTTCGCCCCAGCCGTGTTGGGAAGGTAGGTGGTAACTGACGTAAAATGGAACTACAGTGCGGAAGCATCTACAATGCAATTTTACCCAATCAAAGATGGTGAAGAAGATAGGCCGCATCATGCTCAGATCAAGATGAAATATGACAGTCTTTTTAAGATATGATCCACAAGCTCATTTTATATAGATATACAGTATTTAAATGCAAATCAGAGAGCAGAATGAAAAGAGCCTCCACTAAATTTATAGTTTGGCCAGAATTCTGGGGCTATCAGCAATCCTAATACGATTCAAGGTCTGTTCATCCGTTTCAACTTTGCATTAGTACTAGAGGGATCTTTGCCAAGCCTCTTCCAACTTACTATGGTATGAGGCAGAAGTAGCCATAGCTCGGCACTAGTAGCAGCTAGTTCTGATACAGCGCCACATTGATGTCTAGAAGCTTCTTAGAAGATGACCCATAGTTATTGGTCATCGCAAAACCGCTTAGCTATTTGGGGCTTAGCTATTTCGTTTGCAAGCCGTTTCCGGGTAAAGATACTAGCGCCGAACTATGGCTACTTCTGCCTCCTACGTACTACTAGTGAAAAGTAATGCAAAGTAAGCACTAGTACAATAGCGGCTACTACTTAGAATTCGTCATCCTCCCTCTACTACGGTACCAGGCAGAAGTATCCATAGCTCGGCGCTAGTATCTCCGCCAGAAAACGGACTACAAACGAACCAGCTAAGCCTTAAGAAGCTAAGTGGTACTACTATAGCCAATAATTATGGAACATTCTCCAGGAAGCTTCTAGACATCAATGTGGCGCTGTATCAGAACTAGCTGCTTATTCCCAAGAGACAGATGATCAAGTTGAAGGAGATCGGGTGACTCAACTCATGTAACATGATCTGAGTCCCTAGGATCTTAGCTTGATGTGAAGCGGCTGTCTTGATAGGAAGATATTATGTGTTAGCGTAAACCTACATTACTTGCCTCATAACGTAGCATGAGCCTCAAACCCATTACTTCTGGCCTGACTGTCTTTATTGATCCAGCCTTGCTGGTGCTGTCTTACACATGCAGCTTTTGTACCACATCTTTTCAAAGTAGAAGCCTCTCCGCTCTCTATTTGGTTGCCTTGTTCAGTCACACAAGTCCCCCGGCTGTGACCCCCACTGAATCGACCATGGCCTGCCAATGGCTACCAGTTGTTCAAAAACTCGACCAATGCGGCTCTGCGACTTCCTCCCTGGTACAAAAGCCTTAAGGCTCTGGTCCGATTTCCCCCAAGTGACCAGCTATGCCCCCGTATCTCGAATAATCTTTGTATCTATTGTTACTGCGTCTTATGAAGAAGAACTAGCTGGCTTTAAGATGAAGTGGCAGTGCTCCCTTTCATCTATTTTCAGCATTCTCGAAGAATTTGATTTTTGCTGGCGTCTGGCGTCTCAATCGTTTACTTGTTTGGGAATTTTTCGTTATTGGCAAGATGCAAACATCACTAAACTCATTGCCATTCGATCTCGTGCATGTTATTGCTTCAAGTCTCGATGTCCACGACTTTGTACACCTCAGCCGCGTCAGCAGACGTTATCAAAACCTCCTGCAGAACGAGAGCATGGCACGGAGAACGCTGCAGGTGTGTCACTTTCTTGTCCCGTCATCCTCGGCCATCTTTGACGCAGAAAGCAAACTGTACTATACACCCGGGAGGGACAAATCGTTCACAATAGTAGGGAAAGGTACCTTTCAAGTCGCCAGGCAATAGAGCGTGTTCAGTGTGTGCGACAATCACTAGGCTCTGCCAGACCTTATTCAGTCTCTCTGTTGGCGTATGGGGAAGCCTTCTTCTATTCAGAAGGGGTTCTATGCTATGTTGACGGCCCACTCGTCCGCGTTATCGACATTTACAGCGGATCACAAGTCGAAGATGTTGTCAATGTGCTAGCCTTAAATCAGAGACTTAGCTTGTGTGTGGCATCAGAACCTTCTGGTCTTCGGCCTTTCGATGACACAAGAATCACCAACCTCAGCTACTCTAAGAGGATTCTAGTATGTGTCTGCGAGTCTGAAGTCACAGACGAGCGTTGGCTTCTAGTCGTCGATCTAGGCCAAGATCTCAAGCGGCGGGTCCCTTTTCGACACCCTCTGACCTGCACGACCAAGCTTTTTATTCGACACGACCGCGACTACCTATACTATGGCACGCATTCAGGGAGGCGATCCGATGGTCACCACGAATGGCTTGTAACAGGCTTAGATCTCGAAAAAGGGTGCCCTATAACGCCGAAACCATTTCAATTAGCTGATTTTGTTGGATCTGACATCGGCTCCACTGCATGTTTCAAGATCCATGAAAAGCATCTTTACGCCGTCTCTAATCAGACATCTTTTGAAGTAGAGGAGGTTGATTGGACATCATACTATCACTACATTAAGATACCACTTGGTGACAAGAAGCCAGACCTCAAAGCACATCGGATCTGGCAACGACAGCACGGAGAAGGGCCTATTAATGATTCCTGGACTGATCTATCCCTTCAGAAGGATGAGCAGACTAATGAGCTCCTCATCATCGAATGTCGCAAAGAATGGCTGGGCGGTGGTAGTGCTAACATCAGGACCTACTATACGCAGCCACTACGTTTGAACACAGAGGATGATGTCGTGCAGACGTGCCATTTCCCAGCTGATGATCCTTTGACACGAACTCTAGACGAGTACTCGAAGCCGCACTTTTCGGAACCTCAAATACGGATACGGAAGTATTACCACCATGAATACGAACAGAGCCGACTCGATCCGCGGAACTCGGCACCAAGAGACTTCATCCTGGCAAAGACGAAATTCCGCGCCTACAGTCCCTCAGCCATGTCATTTATAGACCTAGTCAGCGATCCAGCCCCGGTAGCAGCCGGCTCTGTACGAATGCGTGAGCGCCTGCGGCTCCGCATCGCATCCAGGAGACAGAAGTCTCCGCTGGTTGATGATCCTGATTGTCCGGGACAAATGATCCTGCGGAAACCAGAGCTGGACAAGAACAATGATCCAATCGAAGGGAGCGAAGAGGACTTCCATCCCACAGAGATCCATCTGTGGCCGCCAGATGACGCGCCGACAGAGATCTACGATGTGCTTTGCCCGGCTGGCCGAGTGAGAAATGTAGAGGCCATCGCAGACGAGAGGTCGATCATTTACATGACGGACGCCCCATCAAACGCGACAATGGGGCGCGGCAACGCCCGCGCAATTGTCATGATTAGCTTCGATCCAAGCTGGGGCAAGAAATATAAGAGGCTCATCATGCCATCCACGAGCTCCGCACCGCCACCCAAAGAGATGAAGCTCGAACTGGAAAATAGGTCTATGTCTCGAAAATCGTACAAACGAGCCTCCCCTACGCCGGAGTCCGCGTCGACCTCGGCATCGGCATCTTCCACGTTTGTGTCTCGCCCGAAAAGGCAGAAATGCGATTCTGACTCATCTACTACTACCACCACCACTGGAACCACGACACGAAATCCGGACAAGGAGCGCCGATTCATGTGGAAGGAAGGCGCGATGTATCTCTCCATCAACCGGGGGTACCGGCTTCGATAGCACAATAGTTGGCCCGGGTAAGTCAGTCATTGAGTAATTGTTACACGAAGCGATTTCTCACGCGTTATTGCTTGCTTGTATGCGTTCGAGAATCTACCTAGATTTAAACTGAGCATGCAACTATTTCGCCTTCACTAAGTCAGGAAGCGAAAACCAAATACGTTACTAAGTTATCCAACACCTATGCCGTAATATGGTATAATATTCTTTTTGTTTCCGGACGACTCCTGTGTTTAGGACACATCGATATTGGATTCTCTGCGCATCGAGGGCGCAAATTACACTACACTATATATTTAATATACCCATTAACTCCAAACAGTAAATTCAGGCAAGAGACTCACTTCCTCCTCACTCTCCTCCTGCATTTCCTCTGCTCTCGCCCCCGCGTCTTTCTGACACATGACAGACGAGAGATCCTCCCTCCACTGTCTAACCGACTGCACAAGGACTTCCACCCTTAAGATACGAAGAATCGGGCCAGTATAAAGAAAAAGTTAATGTAGAGGACCAGAAGCGATGTTACCGCTCGAGTTGACTGCTGGGGCTGGGCTTTGGGCTCACGAGTGCTAAGCACTACACCCACCCTCCATGGCGCGGGCAGATGGGGTTTGCAAGTAGTTATAGACGAGATAGAGAGAGAGTGTGTGTAAAAGAGAAAGAAGTTGTGACTGCGTCTAGTCGAAAGGTGGATTGTAGGGATTGAGGGAGTGCTTACGATGATCAGCCGGGTCGAGAGCAAGAGCAAGCCCATCATCTCAAGTGTATTGGGAGATAAGACCTTTAAGCATGGTAGTTTAAAAGAATTAGGGTGGGTACTACTTAAGCTTTTATGTGTTAGATTAGATATGTGCATCGCAGCCCTCAAGGCAAAGGGAGGGTTGGGAAAAGTCAATACGCTCGTCGCATAAATCATGACTGCGGAGTCCACATTGACTATCACCACTGCAGCATTAACAAGAATGACAACTTAATGTTGACTCCACTCAATAGTCTTCAAATCAATTCCCTCCTGCACCAGTTCCCAGAGCGGACTCAAC